GTTTAACAGTCAAGGGTTTAGGGTAGAAAGTCGATCCACCTCGTTTAAAGGCCACCCCCCCACGTTGATACTAACAATCTTGCATGACCCTACGTACTTTCTATCTTGGGAACTATGGGAGTTAAGCCTCTTAAGGTCTGGCAAGATTTTTAGTATCAACCTTAACAGGACTGTGTGCTGCATGGGGGGTTCTACTTTCTGAGCCGTACCAAACACCTAGGATGTAGAACCGAGGGCAGGGATTGAAGTTTCAGGCTTGTATATAAATTGAGTTAGGATTTAAAGTTTAGGGTTTTGGGGCTTAGAGTTTAGGGTTGAGGGTTGGAGGTCTCGGGCTTAGAGTTTAGGGTTTGTTTTACGAGCTTTTAGGACCTGAAGTTAAGCCCATTTGAGACTACGTGAACCACTTATGGGGCCCCCGCTTCTAGTCCATACCCCTTCGCCCTAGACTTGAACGCCCCAAACAACATAATCTGGGTGGTATTCATTCTCTAGGGAGTGTGGTACTAAGGGAAGGGACCACAAAACCGTAAGCCCTCGATCCTAAAGCCATTTAGCGGGAGGGAGTTGCGGTTCCAAAGTCTCAGCTGGATTCTGTCAAGGGCCCTGAAATAAGTTACACAATGCAGCTCCATCTTACGGTAACTCAGTTTGAATTCCGCAACAGCATCAGAACCCTTACATAGAGCCTATAGGGTTTAGGGAACCCTAAACCCCAATGCGTCCTCAAACTTGCGTTTTCTCTGCAAAATCAAACAACCAGACATGAGCCGTCCATCCGAAAACTACCAGCCATTGTGGATAGGATTAAGGCTTCGGGTTTAGGGTTTAGGGGTTTGGAAACATCTATCTGTTTGTCGTGGTTTGTTTTCAGTACTGCCCTAATTTCCAAGCATCCTTTGAAGGTTCAATTCGCTAGTTACCTATGTGTTGGGTTGAGGGGTAATGTATTGGCATTTATTCCTAAGCCCAAGATGCTAAACCCTTATACCCTGAAATCCGAAACCCCTGTAACACTTGATATTCTCTGAAGCACAGGAAACCAAAATGCTTGTAATTACAAATCTTGAAGCTACTATAGAAGGGCTTAAGATCCAGGGTTTAGAATGCCCGTACACCCTAAACCCAAGCCCTAAATCCTACGCCCTACCACGTCCTAAACCCTAAACCCTAAATCCTAAGCCCTGAACCCTAGACAATAACTCCGAAAACCCTTAATCCTAAACCCCTAAACTCTAAACTCTAAACCCTAAACCTTCAGTACTGCCCCCCTCAGTAACAGTTGGATAATAAGTATAATATGGTCATATATAGCCCTTAATGGGACCCCTAATATAGACTGTTACTGGGGGGGGGGCAGTACCCAACCTAAACCCTCACTCGCGTGGTTGTAGAAGCTTCAGCCGTGGCGCTCATCGGCCCAGCTTCGGAGACGCACCGCCACGACAAGGGACGTGTCCTTGGCACGCTCTACCCTAAGGCTCCTAGGGTTTAGGATTTAGGGGTTTAGGCTTTAGGATTTAGGATTTAAGGTTTAGGGTAGTTTAGGGTTTAGGATTTAGGGTCTAGGGTTCTTCCCCTCAGGAGGCAAGGTTTGGGCTTTTGGGGCTAAGGTTGTGGATCCGCTTGTGAGGGTCCAAGGGCCTCAGGATACAGTTTAGAGTTCAGGGCGGCTTAGGGCTTAGAGTTCAGGCGTTTGGATTCAGGGTGTAGGGCGGTATATTGGCATTCATCAATTTCCCTATGAAACCCCTAGGAAGGATCTCCACAATCCCCCTTCAATCCCCATGGATCTCCCTGGATTGTTTCAAAGGCCCACCCTAAACCCTAAACCCTAAACCCAAAGTGGAGCGGGGTTGAACATATTTTTGAGGGTCCTCTAGTGGCTCCCTCTTCCTTTGGCCGCGCTTCTGCCGAGTCAGCAATGCGCAAGCGGATGCCGAAATCTGACAGGGAAAGGCTGGGTTGCTGTTAAGGAACTTAAATTAAGTTACTATATTGGGGAAACCCTATTATGAACTATATATACCCATTATGGTAACTTAATTTAAGTTTCTTAACAGAAACCCAGAAGGGATCAGAGTCTCAAGAGCTTAAGGTTTAGTGTTTAAGGCTTGTAGGGTTGAAGCTTTAGGGTTTAAGGCTTAGGGTTTAAGGTTTAGGGTTTAGGGTATAGGGGTTTAGGGTTTTAGGGTTTAGGGTTTAAGGTTTAGGGTTTAGTTTAGGGGTTTGGGCCTTATGATCTCAATGACTTGGCCAGCATGTAATTTCGGAGAACAAGGTCTCAGCTTTCAGGTTGTTGCGGCGTGCGACGGCTGAATCGTAGACTACCGAACTCGAGTCGCCCACTACAAGGAGGGGCCCCCTAATAACATAACTATACTTGTAAGTCCTATAACTACAACTTATGGAACTTATAACCATATTGAGCCCAACTTATAACCCCACATATCACTAGGGCCCCCTCCTTGTATGTCCGGAGACACTGGACCAAGGTCCAGCAGGTATAATCATCTCTTTGCGCTAAGTCATGTGATGCTCATCTCATCTTTTGGCGGCGGGTGGCCTGCCTCTTGTAGAAGCGGCCCTCAGGAAGGCCCGTTGCGAGATGAGACTTACCTCCTTGCCGAGGATGCAGCTGACTTAGGTACTTGGACCCTTAGAGACATCCTGGCCCCTGAATTCCTAAACTCCTACACCCCAACTGCAAAAGCCCCAAACCCGGACGCGGTTTAGGGTTAGGGGTGGGTTTAGGTTTTACTGTTCAGGGCTACGGCCCGCAGCAGCAGCACCAATGGGGTGCTTCGCGACGATGGCGGAATTATACGAGTTCCTTATCTAAGCCATAATCCAAACTCCTGGCATCCCCCTTAATAACCCCTATGGTAGTCCCCAATATAATCCCCTGTATAACCCCCTTCAAGGAGTTTAAGCCCTAAACCCTATATAATCCCTTATATAACCCTTTTAGACTGCAGCTCATCTGGATTCTGTGGCGGTTCTCTTGAGACCTGTCCGGTTTTTCTTTCTCTGTGCTTTTATAGGTTGATCGTGCGACAAGTTCCTTCGTCCAAGGGCAAGAAAGGAGTCTCGAGCCCTGTTACTGGTTCAGGGTTTAGGGTAACCCCTTGAACACGACCTACAACTCCTACACTGATGTGCTAACTTTCCTCTGTGGTTCTGTGAGGGGGCGCAGGTGCCCTAGCCCTGGCATCTGCATCAAACAAAGTTGTTTTCAACTTTTTAAGCTGCCTGAGGCCATGCCTCAAGTTTGGGCGCCTGTCATCTGATTCTGAGCCGGTTCCAGCATGAGGCCTCAACCTCATTTTGAGCCACAATGGTTTGAGCCACCAAAAAAAAAGCGCCAGCATCAAGAGCATCCCAAGAGCATCCCAAGAGCATTCCACTAACCTTCCAAGAGCATTCCAAGAGCATTCCAGAACTCCAAGAGCTGAGGCGAGCAACACCGAGCATCAGAATCAAAATGCATCAAGAGCATCAAAATCATCGAAAAGGGGTTCAGGCTAGGGTGTGGGCAAGTCTAAACCCTATTTTGAAATACATACCAAAAAAAAAGACCAGGCCGGCCTCCTACCTAAACCGGGGACAACCTTAGGCCGGCAACCCCCAAAAACCTTAACCCCGTCCCCCCGCATGAAAGAATGGCTTCATGAATGCCTGAAGCGGGATTTACTTTGGAAAGCTGGAGGATTTCAGACCTCCTCAGAAAATGAGACTTGATGAATGCTTTCAATTGCATTCAGAAAATGAGAATTGATGAACGCTTGCAATTGCATTTCATGGGTTGCATCTGTAGGAATGTCAGCTCTCGCAACATGCAACACACGACGAAAAGCGCCGATTCCTTTTCACGGCTCTGCCGACTTACAGATGCGGTGACGCGCTGCTGTCAAAGCAGCAATGGCACAGGGATCTCATTCGCACTACTTGCCCCAGTGCAGAAATGCTGAGTTAGACAACTTGAGCTCACGCATCTGAATGAATGCGTTGAACATTTTCTGGGCCAGGCAGGATAGTTTGAAGAACCCTGGTGAAGAATGTCAGGAGCATCCAACACCTCCCAGCTATCTCACAAGAGAATCAAAATGCATCCTTGCTCCTTTCAGGCTACTGCGACAGAAGGTCAGGATAGGAACTAGGCTTATACGGATACGGGGATAGTTGGGGTTATTATTTTCTGGCCTATAGGGGTTATATGTATAGTGACTAAATCCCTGACCTCCCAACAGGATTTCCAGGAGGATCGGAATGCGATGCTCAGCCAACTTCCTGATTTCACACAACTGGACTTGAGCAGCAATGGTCAGTTTGAGGCCTGGGCGGTTTATGTTTAACACTCTTAGGATAGCGGGGCAATACGTTGCATTCATCACCTTATATAGATAGACACTACAGCTTCCACGGGTGTCGCCTACCACTGGCCTCAAAATCACATTTGCTCAAGCCCGGAATCCACTGCGTGCAGCTGACAGCGGGAATCCAAACTGCATACCCAGAAAAATATGACCCTGCAACATCAGAACTCAGAATTTGAACCATTCTCCAACCTACGGACCCCAATCATCCCATCCCATTACCCTGAATCAGAACGTGAAATCCCGTTTCAACAAGTCTAACCATCTTCACGTTGCATTGCACACCAACCCCTCTACATAACCACTATCCTGAAGACCCACAACTGCACAGTGAACTCAGCGAACCCACTGGCTTCAGGAATGATGGGAAGCTTCAAAAGCCTGAAGATGAAGCTTCGAAAGTGCGCTTAGCTTGGCATCACGAATGCCTGCACTGCAAAGACAAACGTTCTTCAGGAAAACAAGCCAGCACGGCTTCCATCTTTGAGGAGTCACGCTGTGAGCGCTTTAAGCAGTCCACAGCACACTGAAAATTTTCCTTGGAAGCATGGCTTGTGGGGAGGAAAGACTTTCGAACACCATACAGAAGAAGGCTTGAAGAGCTTCTCTCTGCTACAACCCAACCTGCTGGCACGAACAACACATCGTCGGCCTTCAGGAAAGCAAAGTAACCCTTCAGCTTGGCCCAATGCGGGGAGCTCTCATTGACCGCAAGGAGAAAGGCCATGATGGCATCCAACGTGATATCCGTCAAGGGCTTTGTCTCCTTCATGACCTCCACCACATTTGTCAACGCAAAGGTGATGACGGTGAGCTCGCCCATGACCAAGACCTGAAGCCGCGCCGCTGCATTCGGTGGCAAGTTGGCGGCTGAGATCTTTGGATCGTAGCCCCAGTACCAGATCGACTGCAATGCTGAGCTGGCCCCCTGAACCTTGGAAACATCCAGCGTGGCAAAGGAGACAAGACTCGAAAGGAGGGCTTCGCTTTCCTCCTTTCCAGCACCACCCTCCACAATAGCTTGCGAACGCTTGTCGGACTTGTACGTTGGGGTGCGCTTGTATGAGCCAGCAAACTCACTGAGCTTGATGCTCATCTTGGCCGTGTTCCGCCACGTCTCCACGGAGCTTGGCGACTTCATCATCCACGGAAGGTCAAGGTCACCTTCCTTGACGGCCGAACCTGGCTCACGGATCGCAACAGACTGCCACTTCTCAGCTGCCACGGCGAAGATTGCATGGTTCGAAAGCTTGCCGTTTTTGATCTCCTCAGCGTGTTTCTTGGCGACGGCAGCCGCCTGGTCCAAAGCCTGCTTTTCCTGCTTGGCCTTCTTTTGACTCTCAGCCTTCTCGGCCTTCTTCTTCTTCTGCGCAACGTAGGACTTGACATCGGTAGCGATCTTTGTAGCAGCCTTGACAAGCTTGTCGACGGAGGCAAAGTCAGTCTTGAAGTTGTCATTCAACTCCTCCACAACAGTGATGATCTCTGTCTCCCTCAACAACTTTGCCTGGTTGGCCAAGTAGAAGTAGCAGTGCAAGTTCCCTCTCTCCTTGCCCAAGCTCACGTTGCTTGCGTCCACTGCTGCAAGGAAACCCTTCTCCTTGATGGCCAAAGCATCCTTTGTCGCCTGGGAGTCTGGAGTTTCGTTCTCAGGCAAGTCTGGCACCGCCTGAAATGAAGCACAGATCTGGAAGGCACGGGCCAAGGACGTCTTGTAACTGACAATCACCTCATCCTCTGCACCATCTGCGCCAACAAGAACCGTATCATTCAGGGCCACCTTCGCGTCCGTGAGCTTGGACTCTGCAACCTTCACAGCTGCCAGAATTTGCTTCAACTTCTCATTGGCTTTGCCGACAGATGTGATCCTGTGGGCAACGAAGGCGGGGCCACTCTTCAACTTCTCCAAGCGCTTCTGCTTCTTCTTCTCCTGCCAGAAAACAAATCAATTTGCTGAAGATGATTCTAGGGTTGGAGGGGCGTCCACCAAAACGGCCCAACAGGCCTTAAGGAATCTGAATCAGATGCTTCCTCAGAATCAAGAAACACCTATTTGGACAAAGGTCTGTTGGCCCCACGCAGGTAGTTGGGCCATTTGAGATTCAAAATATCATGACTCGCGTGAACATGTGAAAGTGAGGCACCAATCAAAAGATTCACGATTACACTGAGTGCACAAATGCAACAGTCCTCCGGCGTCTCCTCGTCCTTGGGCTTGGACTCTGAAGTATTTTTTGTCGGGGTGGCGGCATCGGCATCGACAATCTCACCTCCATTCATCTTGGAGCTGCTGCTGCCGCTGCACTCCTTCTCAGGCACCTTGAGGTTCACATCAACATCCGGAACATCGCATGGTGTGTGAAGGTGATCCATCAGGACCTCGCGGTGATTATGGGCTAGCCGCTTCTCCTGGGCCCCAGACTCAATCAGCTGGTTGCTCACAGATCGCTCCTTGTCATCATGCTTCTCCTCGATGGTGGGGATCCAGAGGCGAAGACAACCCCCAGCTCCCAAGTAATCCTTCTCGCACGTCTTCTTATGCTTCTCCCACTCCGCCTTCGTGAAAGCGGCTGACCATCCCATGATCTTCTCACCCCTGATCTGCCACTCCGTCTGCTCGTATGGCTTCCTGCCCTTCCTGTCCCTTTCGACACGGCCCACACTATGAACCCTGCGGAAGGTGCTCCACTGGATCAAGGGTCGTCGCTTGTAGCGAACATCATCTGGGCAATCTTTGTCAAAGTCGTCGAAGGCCTTCTGCGCTTTGTTCTCATCGCCCATGACCTCACTCATGGCCTCAACCTCGCCGGCTTTGCGAGCCTGATACATCATGGCATCATACTTTTGATTGTGAGACTTGCACCATCTTTTGCCAAGCAAGGTCTTCTCGCTGCAATCGGCAGCGAAGCACCCACGATTTTCATCCATAATGCCTGCGCCTCGCTTTCGCTTCCTGCTTGGCCCAGCCCCGATCTGTGGGAAGGGCAGTGCGCTGTCAGCACCAAAAGCATCGAAGTCCATGTTGGCTCTCGGCTGTTGGGATCAACTGGGATCAGCACGCACAAGCAAACACTACAACACTTCCAAGCTGCAGCATTTGCAAGGGTTCAACAAGCTCTGTAGAACTCATCACAAGCAACTGCCATCTGTAGCTACTGCAACTTCGGCATGCACATTCAAACGGTCCCAGGTTCGGAATTTTGGCTGCTAGGCTGTGACAACTTCGGGGGCGCTGTCCTTGCAGCGGCTCACCAAAATAAAGCCGACCTCCACACGCGGTTTGTGCCACACGCGTGGCTGGCTGGCATGGCACGTCAAAGAACAGGGTGTGTATACTGACCATTGTGACTAGAATCTGGGAAGATCACGATTACTAAAAGCTGTTCTTCAAATGCGCCCGGGTCATTGCTGGGATGTTTGTGGAGCCCTCTTTTTGATTACCAGGAAGAGTGACAAACAAACCCATGAAATAATATGTCAACAACAACCTTACAAATCATGTTTGTTGATGACACACGCACGGGCTCACTCACTCTGAGCCTGAACAGTTGGACGCTCTGCGCCTGAGGACTCCTTATCATCATCAAAACTGCCAGAGCAACCACTGTAGAATTGAGAGCCCCCTTTTTTCAAAAGGGATCTTTCTGGCATAAGAGACATGGTACGGTTGATCTTGATGCTGTGGGCAAACACGTACATACTCCAACAGGCCAGCACCCCCATGTGCCACCCGTTTCCAACGAGTTCTTGCTGCTGCTTCGGGGTTAGGCGCCCCAGACAACTTGAAATTCTACACTCCATTGAATTGCCCGTGCTCTGGGGAAGAAGGTTGAAGCCATGAGACAGCCATACTTCCTGCATGGTCATCTGGCGCTTCGCGCTCCATGCAAAAAGGCTACCGTGGCTGAGCTGTGTCGGAATCAACACTCCGGCCGACGATGTGCCTGCATTGCAGTTCTGGTCCAGGTCAGCAAAGAAGGTGCTGGAGCTCCGGTTTTGCAACAGCCTCTTCTTCTCATAGTCTGCGTGTCTGAGAATTTGACCTGGGGTGTGCAAAGAACTGTTCACGCCATAGATGATGTCCGTCACCTTGTAACCACGCTGCTCGCCCAGCCTCTGCTGTTCTGCCAAGACCTCCGCCTCCGGGGACACAAGGAAAATGTCGCCTGTGGAAGCCAAGCTCCTTCGGAAGAAAGCCTCAAAGTCGGCTTGAAGCGCCGCCCCTGTCGGCCCTAGCCAGGCCATGTTGGCCTTGCTCAATCCGCAGCTCAGGTTCCTTGGACGGCGCACTGGCCACCCCAACATGTCCGGGCCCGCTGTGATGTGAAGGACTTCATGGGCACCCTCCAGAGGCTTGCTGAGTTTCTCCTGCAAACATCATAAGGAGTTTAGGGAAGTTAAGTTAGGGTTTTGGGGGAGGTCTTTGGACAATGTCTTCAGGAGCTCCACTGTGCGAAAGCAGGGCTAAACATTTCACTCAAGACTCAAGATGGAAAAATCTGCGATTGTTGAGGCAACAACACCAACACGGTCAGTCCTCGCACGGGTATCTAACCGTGCACTCAGAGATGAACAGGTGTTCCCCGCCTCTTTCCCCACGCCTTGCACGCTCGCTGAGCCAAACAGCGTGAACAAGTTCCGACTTGTCGCCGAACCGGCGGTTCGATCCAACACTGCTCCATCCTTTGCAGGTGTTGCCCGCGAAGTTGATGTGGATGCCTGAGGGCTCCTGCATCTTCTGCCTCTTGCAGCAAGGTCCAGGCTGCTCTTCAACATCTTCCTCGGTGAGGTCTGAAACATCATCCTCGCGTGTGCCTGGGAACAACAGGCATTCCTGCTGATGGACAATGCACCAGGACTTCGGCAGGTCTGTGAAGATCCAAAAACGGTTCGCCATCAGCCACTTCTGGATGGCAGCGTATGCTTCGGCTGCACTCTCCACATCCGCGCTTACTGCTGGCATCATGGCCTCTACTTGTTGCCGGGCAGCAGGGTGCAGCCTGTCCAAAATGTCTGACATGACACACATTCGGTTACCAGATTCTTGCTCCAGCTTACTGATGTGCAAGAGCACCTGCTGTTGCACCTTGCCAAAGTCACAGGCACGAACATGCCTGAATTTTCCAGCAGTTGAAGTTTCCAAGGTGGGGTCTAGTCGCACAACGAAAGCCTTCCAAGCAGCTTCCATCTGGCTCAGAAACTCGTACTCGCCAGCGAGGCCGCTGTAATCGGAGTACACTGTCGGACATTCACTGAGAAACTGATGAAACCTGTGCAGCCGCGCTGCATCTTGACCGTCACCTCTCTCAAAGAGGCGCTGGACCACCACGTGTGGCCACTGAAACAACTCTTGAATTGTAGAGCTGCTCTTTCAAGTGACTTGCAGCTTTCAAGTGACATCAGCTCCGAATCTACACACGCAGCGAAAACCTGATGACTCTGATCACTGCTGTTGCTTCTCACTGGCTCTAAATCAATGACACACACACACACTCACACACTCTGTGCTTGAAAATCGTGAGCAACCATATTTGTAAAGGAATGACAATCGCATGACCTGGCATTGCGCTGAAAACTTGAAACTTGAAACCATGTTTGCATCACTGCGGCACGCATGCTGACAACTGACACATCCATGTTGAGATGAGATGTGCTTCTTCTTTCAACACTCTGCAGAAAGCAATCTGGTAAGCTGGTTTCCAATGTTTGCAAAACACAAGAAAAATCGATTTCTGGACACTGTGACCACTGCGATGGTGCTGCGGCGGTGTTCTGGCGGACTGCGGCGCCCCCTGCGGCGACTTTGCGGAAAGAAATGAAGGGAATAGCATTTTCTTCGTCGCGCCGAGACGAAATCGGCGAAAACCGGAAAAATTCGTTGCTTGCGGAGTCTTTGTGGATCCTGCGGGCCCAAACCCTTCCAGAGCAGAAATGAATTTCGAGCAATTTCGAGCGCATTTCGAGCACACCCCCGAATTTCGAGCACGTGCTCTTATTTCAAATAGGAGAGACAGAGGAGAATTTCGAGCAAATTTCGAGCACATTTCGAGCACCAGCCCCGAAGCCCCAAAATCCCCAAAATCAGCCCGACAGCCCCGAAAACAACCAAAATATCGGAAATCGCCGAAAAAAAGGACCACAGGTCCAAACAGCACCAAACCTGCCTGCGGCGTTTCCGAAGCCCCGAGAACTCAGTAAAGTCCTTTTGGGCAGAATCAAAAGCGACCGAGACGCCTCGAACCTCTCCCAGAGCCTGCCAGACTTGCCCAAACCACAAGCGCTCGGCCCAGATCGCTCAAGATCTAACATATTCTGCTCAATGTTCAAGCCAGGAACAAACTCTGCAGAGCAAACTGCCAAACATATTTACTGGTGTTTCAAGCAGGAAAAGTACTGTAGACATGTGTCTGCTGGAGCAATGCAAGAAGATGCCCTAACATAACACCATCAGAGCTATTCCCAAAAATACTGCAGAACATCTTGCCACTGCTTGGGGTTGAGGGATTTAGGGTATACACCCTGTCAGGTAATGATTAATGTAGTGTGGCAGGATGTGTTGCTCAAGCTTGGGCTCGAGGGCAAAAGGAAACATGGGGCCTGGAATCCTGAGGTCTCAACCCATTCCACTTCTGCAGTCTGCCATGATTGTCCGGAGCTGTCAGCGCAACAGCGCAACACAACTTTTTTAGGCACCTGGACGACTGGCATCTAGCTCACGCAGGCTGGGAAGCCTATTCTCTTCCCAAGCCTTCAAAACATCTTTCCATGTCTGCTTCTGATGGTGTTCCTTCGAAGGAGCATCGAGCCCCCAGACCGCCCATGCTTTCAGCAGCCTCAAAGTTGTTTCGGCATTGCAGCGACCGTTCGATCTTGTCTTCGTACATGCAGCTGTGCCAGAATGATGTGCTGCATTAGAGCATGTCATCTGGAAGCCAGTTTTGGTCGGTGTTATTCTGCAGCTGCCCCAAGGCTCTGAAGCCAATGGATTTCGTTTGCGTCGCTCACTCTTGGCCTTGGCTTTGGCCTTTGCTTTGGGAGTTGCGGCTGCAGAACTCGAAGTTGATGATGATGATGAGCTGCTGTCTTCGTCTTCGCTGTCCCCAGACGAACTTGAGCTGCTGCTTGAGGATGAGGACGAGGATGATGAGCAAGAGGCTTGCTGAGCTTCATCAGCGTGGGCAGCCTCTTCCTCTGCAAGCGCAAGCAGCTCCTCGTCGAGCTCTGGATTCGCATGATCCCCGCCATTCTCCCCCGCCTCTGGATTGAGGAAATCATCATGGCCAAATGTCAAAGCTGGCAATGCGGCCCTGGAAGACAAAGCTGCTGTTCTTCTCTTCTTGCGTTGCTGGACAAGCAAACCTTCATCTACGAACAAGTTTTCCTCAGCCATGAAAACCAGTTTTCCAAGAGCCCTTGCAGCGCCTGATGCTTTGCTGGAACTTTCATACCCCAACAATGTCTTGTACACATGACCAGGACTCAGGTGCGGGACTTCCACACCATTTGCATCGGCTGTCAGTAGCAGAACAAGATAGTCCTTGGACAGGCTTTCTTTGCCTGCTTCGTGGAACCACACTTTCTCAGAGCCAGGAACATATTTCTCGCATGGCAGATGCTTGCGAGCGACTGTCTCTTGTCGCCAGCCCTGCTGGTGAAGAGCAAGCATAAGCTCCACGACCTCCATGTCTTTATAAGCAACATCAGAACGAACCATGACCAGTTTGTTGGCATTGGTGAGCACAGAACTCACTTCAACTCGGCCCTTGCCCGCTTCAGTGAGCTGCCAGGCGCCTTCGTGATCAAGCATCACAAGATCACTTGCATCCAGGGCCTCCAACGCAGAGGACTTGAAGTCATAGTGCGCATCAGCACCATGCAAGTGGAAACCGCCAGGGGCCTTTAAGTCAGTTAGGAGACTCTGCTTGGCAGTGTCATCGTTTGGCACAGAATCAGGCAACTGGAAATCAAGCGCCATGTCGGGCTTCACACCCCAACTGTGCAAAGACAAAAGCTCCTCAACTGAAAGCGATTCCAACGATAGAACCAAGTTTGCGAGCTCACACTCTGGCACTGATGGAAAGCAGCTACTGAGATGAACTGGGGAGGGGTTCACGTGAACTTCCTTGGCCTCCCTGTCAACCTTCTTCACCCGCAGAACACCGACAGCCCAATCCGAGCGCTTGAACTTCTGTCTGATGGGTGTCACTATACTCCCAACACCCTTGCGAATTAGTTCGAAAAAGACCCATGACTTTGCCACGCATAAGTTTGCAACCTGAAGATTCAGGCTGGAGCTGGATGGCGAAGTTGATGCCGATGCCAGACCCAAAGCGTTCACACCTCCCTCTGACAAACGCAATGAAAAGATGGGCGGAAACTTCGAATTGTAATCTGCTTCCGACTCACGTTGCTCAATCAATGTGGCTGCAGAACGAATGATGTAGGCTTTGAGAACATCTGCTAAGGGCCCACTATAGTCTGGGGTCTCGCTAGATTCTTCCATGGCAGCAAGGATCCTGCCTAGCCCTTCATCCTGCAAGTCGGGTCTTGAGGCATCTTGCACTTGCACAGCCTGCACCTCATGCGCAGCACCTGCGCTGCCGGAGCCGGAACCCCCAGAATCGCCAGAAGGACCTTTAGAACTGTCTGCTGGCTTGGTCCCCGATGGAGCATTTTCCAACACGTGTGGGTTCGACTCTTGATCAATCAGCATATGTTGTTGAGGTGGTTGGGGAGGAGACAAGTCAGTCCATAGTGGGGCCACTCGGTACAGGGTCACAGGATCGGCATGATAAACGATCTTAGCACGCAAGGGGTCCCTGTATCCTGTTATGAGAGCTGTGGACGGATGGTGCTCCAAACCCAAAGCCTTCAAAGCCTTCACGGGACTGTGGCATTCGTCTGCGCATGCTGACATCTGCGCAAGGAACCTAGGATCCGAGTCCAGTCTTGCTTGCATCAGCGGCATCCTGGCAAGAGCTAGGGTTAGGTTTTTTGAAAGGCGTGAGAGGCACTGCAAAACTGTTACTGTCTAGCTACAAAGGGCATGGTATATGGATTTTGGGTTTAGGGCTTAAGAGTGCTGAGTCGAGGATGTAGGTTTGAGGGCTTTGAGTTTAGGATGTAGGGTTTAGGGCTTACAGGGATTTTGAATTAGGATCTAGGATTTAAGCTTTGGGGACGCCTGTCCTGCGCATCACACTGACATAGCTGGTTGTGTGGTTTCTGGCCAAAGCGATCCTGCGATGCACCTGCCAGGGTTGGGGCTGGTGACTGGGATGTTTGATAGGCTAGGGGAGCCGAAGTCGAAGCCCTATGATTTATGAACATCAAGGAATGTTTGTACACGTGTGGATTGTGTGGGTGTAAAAATGATACAAACCTAAAACTTCCAGATCAACAGGTTGCACTGTTGCAACTGTGGCCTGAGCATGATCCCCTTCCACAGCGCGCTCAGCTGTTGGGAAACAAATGAGTTTCAGCAAAAATCGCTGAAGCAACAGGCGACCTTCCAATGAATCCCCTTCCACGTAAGCAGTTGCCTCTGCAGCCAACGCTGGCGACTTCAACTCGTTTAGCAGGCTACAGCCTTCATGTTCCATTGCCAAAGATCTGCGAAGAAAATCTTTTGAAGTCTCTGTGCGGAGATGACCACAGCCAAATATGCTCCAGGGAAGTGATCTCCAAAAATCCAAGCGCATGGAAAGCACGAAAAGAAGATGCGCACGACCCCTCTCGAACTCGCGCAGTAAAATGCTTCTCTCCCTGAGGTCAACATCTCGAGGAAGGGTAGTGAGCAACTCGCCTGCACTGGTGTCAAAGAGCGCCCTTAACACAGCAAGGAAATTGCCAGCAGCCAACTCCGGAGCCCGACATCCACGTAAAGGGCAGCGGGACCACTGTCTCCGAACATGTTTGGGCACCTGACGCAGCACCTGGTCTGGATGACATGGACAGCCTTCTGACCATGCAATTGCACTCTGCACCATGTCTGTCAGAGTACTCAGCGTGCGCACATACGCCCAGAAGAATGGTGAAAGTATGGCCGCGTCTGCAGCAGCCACATCGACCCCATCATAATTCGACTGGGCTTGACCAACATTCTGCCTGCCCACTCCGTACTTTGCTGCGTCCCAGCCCCAGCGCAGGCTCCTTTCGACCTGCAGCAGTTGTGTAACTGCATCAGACAGTGAGCCCCATCTTCCTTTATGGAGTTTGCCCTTGAAAGATCGGATGCCAGGCTGCAAGTGCCGCCCCACTGGGTCAGCAAAACACGTTTGAAGAAGCCTCTCCTTGCTGTCACGCCTCCGCAGAAGCTTTGCAACTACCTGGATTTGGGAAACTACCTCGTCGAACTGAACCATACTCTTGGACAAGTCGTTCGTAGAATTGTGAACGATGTGCAAACAACCTGCGACTGAAATGGATCTGCTGAAATCGATGGTGGCTGAAAAATGTTGCTGAACGACATCTTGGGCAGGGGCCCAATCGTGCAACTCAATAGTTTGTGCAGGGAGGGGCATCCACGGCAAGACTTGTGACACGGGCAACACCGGAACTTTGGCTAGCCCAAATTCTGTCCCCTGGTCACTAGTGAACCCGAAGATGCTGTTGCAGAATCTAGACAGCAAAGTAGACGACCCCGTCTCAAGCCAGACAGCGTGCACAACTGCGTGATATTTGTGGTACAGCTGAGCAAAGCCACTGCCAATCACAACACTTGGTAAAAGGTGCGCCTCCATGAAGGGTGCAATTACCTCAAACAATTCTCTCTCTGTGGCTGACCGCTGATCAAAAAACTGCTCATCCACTGGCACACCCTCTTCGAGCAACGGCCTCCAGAGCAAATAAAGCTTCTGAAACGCATCTACCAAGGTATCGGCTCTCGAGGTATCCACGGAAAGACATCGAATCAGTTCGAAATCATAATGGCCCTGAACAGAAGCATCCACCATGAGATAGCGCACACACGTGTTCTGCTGCAAGCTGGCCTCATTCAACCGCCGCATACACAACATGTAGGAAACATCTGTCATGAAACGCCCTCTTGACAATGTTGAGGCGCTGGGGACCCTGCACGTGCTATCATGTTTCAAAGGCTCCAGGACAGCAGCTTTGAGTGCTTCAGGCACAATGACTTCCACTGCACGAATCAAGACTTTCTTCAGGTCGGAAGCATCACGAAGATGATAGCACAACATCAAAGCTTGGATCAAGAACCTGGTTTGATATGGAAGCTTGCTAGAGCTCGTGCGACCCCGAAGTTCAAGGATTCCATGGTGCATGTTTTCAGGATCCAACTCGTCATGAAAGCTTTGCAGCATCTGCACTGCTTCCCGACAGCTTTGCAAAAGCTCAGCATCCGCAGCGTCCATAAGCCTAGCAGCTAAGAAGCGAATCGTGTTTGCAGCTTCTAAAGCTTTGGAAGCTGTGAGATTTGCGGCTCCAACCACTGCTGGGGCCTGGTCTGGAGGCAAAACAAAATCGCCTTTCATGTCCATAATATTTGTCCAGCCCATGATCCTGAGCTGTTTTCGTTCCTTGTGAAATGCTGTGTCCAAATCAGGATCTGGCAGCGCGAAGCGGTCCCAGACACTATCTACGAGCTTACACGCGAAAGAAGCAGGGAGTCGGACACACAAGTGACAGGATTCTTCAAACCACAATGGCAGCTCTGCATCCCGGTCCTGACCCCTTGCGATCCCAAGCAGGACATCTGGTGATCGCAGATCATGATTGAAAAGTTGCACAAAGAAAGATCTCATGCTCCACTTTCTGATCGGAATTTCGACTGCCTCCTTCAAACGGACCACATCAAGCACCCTGAAGAAATATAGTCGGGAATCCATGGGACCAAAAATTGAACTCCAATACTTATGCTGCACGCGATCCCCCTCTGCTGATAGTAAGTCAAGACTGTCATAAATGCCACTTGCTTCGATGTGAGCAAACCCAACAAGGCGGTCAGCACACAGACCCTTGGCCAGCTTCTCACCATTGCTGAGCTGCTGGTAATCCGGTGTTCTCTCTAGCGCAACTGCATTGAAATCCGTCTTGTACCGGATCCCATCACCAGCAGAACCCCAGCGTTGTTGCTCACTATGCGTTGCTATCCAAGAGCAGCGCTGCACAGACATGGCCGCCACCACAAAGGCAGAAACAAGTAGCATTGCAAGGGCACTGGGGAATTCGTGTCAGTGTCTGAATTCATGCCCGCTCTTGAACTGGAGGGTTACCATTATGTTTGAGTAAGTTTCTTCTGAAATGCTTGCCGTCCTGCCTGAATGATTTGTCGCTCCGATTGCTAGCCTGAGGCCCTGAGGGGCCTTGCACAAAACAAAAAACATGGGTCCACAAATGATCAGAATGCACGCATTGCACTCACGGAATGGAATCTGTCTCAATCTGCTGCTGACAACCTGCAAGTTGATAATATCGGCAACACTCTCTGCACCCATCCGTCTGTGAACCCAACTCAAACGAAAATCTCACATGCTTGCTGGACAATGTGCAGTCTCACAAAATCAGCAAAACTTTCCAGGCAAAAATGTGAAAACCTTGCACTGCCTTGCACTCATCCGTCTGTGAATGCAACTCAAATGAAAATTTCGCATGTTTGAAATCAGAACTTGTATTGAGAGCGCCCAGTGGGCGCCTTTAAGTGTGAGCGCCAATTCCAATGCCAGGTGACACTCATTCTTCGCATGGATATGGTACTTTACTGAACCTACACACATCACAGTGGAGCGTCATGCCCCGAAAGGATACTGACTCACACGAACTTGTTTGCACAACGCAGGGCCGTCTTAAATTTTAAGGTCTCGGGTCTCAGGGTCTTAGGGTCTTAGGGTTTTAGGGTCGTAGGGTTTTAGGGTTTTAGATCCTAGGGCTTAGGGACTTAGGGCCGAAGGGTTGAGGTCTTAAGGCTCCTAGGGTCGAGTTTAGGGATTAAGGTTTTTCTCCCATTTTTCCCACGAGGCGCGATTTTTTTCTCCAGTTTTTCCGCAAGAGGCGCAGGATGACAAGACCTAAGAGCAGAGCGTGTATCCTCATCCTTCCATTGAATGGTCGAGACCCCGCGCGCAGAAGGCCCTGAGAAACCTGAACGACCCTGAGCGCTGCTTTGGGGGCCAGAACCAAACCCACAGAACCAAATAGGAAAGTTAGCACACTGATGTTGCACTGCGACCAGCTACCGTCAATATTTCCTACATAATCTAATGGACATGGGTTCCTGCTCAGGAACTGAATTAACCGCGTGCTATGCTTATCTACAAGAGGGACCCCTATGTCCACTGTGTAGGGCTCCAAAGGGCCAATATTGACAATAGCTCATATAATTCCTATAACCTGAGTTTCTCTTTCATTTTCCATTTTTATCCCCTTAATTACCCGTCTTTAATCCCCCCAACCGCCTTTCAGGAGTTTAGACTACAGCTCTTTCAATATCTTCTACGCCTTGTGAAGTGCGCGGACGGTAAATGGAACTGTAGTTCTTCCAGCCATCACACAGACCCCTTTGAAGGATACAAGGATCCAAAGGTAACCTAGAAGCTCGAAGAATACTTTAGGGTTTAGGATTCAGGGGTTGAGGGTGCAGGGCGCAGGGTTATCGAGAGGATCATAACGTACTCCGAACCCCACTCTAAGTGTAGACCTCTTAAATTCTAGTTCCCTTAAGCCTTGGCCCCTAACTGGCTCCCAATTGTCCCTGGAAGTTCAGGTTTGGTGGGGCTCCGTGAAGGCAGGCCTTGGCAACCCCGTGACAACAACCCTAAACCCTAAACCCTAAACCCCTAACCCTAAACCCTAAACCCTGAACCCTAAACCCTAAACCCTAAACAACAAACGCCTTCGCCAATGGCTGGCGCAGCTACCAGAACCTGCCATCTGACACTACGGGGGCCCATCTGGGATTCTTTCATGTAGGTATATAAGATATACCTTTATGAGCCATAATCTAAAGTCCTAATATCCCCATGAATAACCCCTATATAGCCCTCTTTAAGGATTTTAGACAGTAGCTCAAGAAAGCCTACAGGGCCAAAGTATACTACATACCTACATTGACCCATTGATGTTTAAGGATCCTGCAGGTCTACAGAAGCATACGGGTTTTATCCATAATGGCAGCCATAATCTAAACTCCTTAAAGGGGTTATATAGGGGGTAAAATAGGGAACTACTATAGGGGTTATCAGGGATACTAGGAGTTTAGACTATATATCATTTAGGAAGCAGGAATCTTGAGCAACTACCATCTGCGACTTGGACAGTGTGGATACAGCCTGGGGCGGTATTTCAGAGAAAATGCTTGGCTTCGTAGCCTGCGCTGCTACTGGGTAGGCGGTGATGTGCCCTAAGGGTCCAAGGACCCAAATAATAGTGTTTTAGGGCCCAAATACTATTCATAATATAGTATTTGGGCCCTAAAACCCTAAGATTTGGGTCCTTGGACCCTTAGGGGTACATTCTGGATCTCCAGGGAGTTCGGGCTAGAAGTACGAGGCAGCAAAATCAACATGTGTTTCGCTTCGCAGCTGCAGCAATCCGGCAACAAATCTGTGTTTAGGGTTTAGAGTTTAGGGTTGATGGATAAAATCTTGCACCACCTAGGGGCCCTAAACTACTGTAATTCCTCGGGCTTTAGGGGCTTTAGGTGGTGCAAGATTTCCTCCATCAACAGTACTACAGGAATCTTGTCAACAAGAGTTCCTGGTTCCGTAGGAAAGCTGACAAGTCTCCATATGGGATGTCCGGGTCCCTTTGAGGGACTTTAAATGCAAGTCTCATCTCATCTGCCCAGACCTCAGCAAGATCCAACAACAAGAATCCTGAACAATATGCTCTCGCTGCATGGGGTCCAAACATGCCCATGTCCTCCCCCCTAAAGCAAGTAGTCATAAGGGATGAGATAGGGGGCGACCATAAGCAAGGGTTATTCAGTGGGAAACTAGGCGTTTAGACTATAGCTCATATGCTGGTCACAGGGCAGTGCAACATCAGTGAAGGAGTTGTAGGTTGTGTTCAAGGGGTCAACAGGGTTCCAGAGTCCTTACTGGCCCTTGGAGCCCTCCTTAGAGGGTCCAAGACATTGTGAGGGCAATTTAGAATAACTTCAATTCCCAAGGCCATTTTGGTACTAAAAAAACACACCATTTAGGGTGAGGTCGGGTGAGGTCGCTTTGAGTTGCGTGTTTCAGTGTTGAAGGTGTCCAAGGACAATCCCAGCCTCTCCAGCAGGGCTCAAAATCCTCAAGCCTAATATCTCTAGGGATTTAGGGTTTTGGGTTTAGAGCTGCAATCTGCCCCCCGCCTGTAATAGTGGTATACTAGGAATATAAGAGGGCCCTAACTTCAATCACCACCATCCCTTCTAGTGGCTATTACAGGGTAAGGGGTCCACCCAACTTACGAATCACCCTAAACTTGCAACCTTGAACCCTAAACCTTTTACCCCAACATTCCCCTAGACCTGGCGGCATTCTTGCCAGTTCTTAGGACCTCTCCCCTTCCCTGACCCCAGGCAAGGTCCAAAGAGACGAGCCCAACCCAACACTTCTTAGGGTTCAGGGTCTAGGGTTTAGGAATCGGAGGCTCTTCTGGCTTCATTCGTAGGTCTACATAGTCACAGGCATTCTGGGGCTCATCATGTTTAGGGTTTAGGGTTTAGCGTTTAGGACTAGGGCTTAGGGTTCAGGACCCTAAACTCTAAAGCCTACTTGAAAAAGCAGACCCCAACCTCCTCCGAGGTCTTCTGCACAGGCCGCTGCATCAAACCTTTGAAGGCAAGACTACTACAGTGCCAAGTTTTTCAGGTCTAGGCTTTTACCTTAACATACCAAAACCTAGCTTTTTGCAGGGTCCCATTCATAACCCCTAGTATATAACTTGTAGGGAACCTACAGGTTTAGGCTAAGGTTCAGGGTCGAGGGTTCTAGGGTTTCGGGTTCTAGGTCTTCGAGTTTTTGGGTTAAGGTTCACGGCTTAGGGTTCTAGGTTTCATGTTCTCGGGCATAGGGTGTATAGGGTCTATAAGCTTGGGGATGACAATTTCTATATAAAATACTATACCCAAAAGGAGGATATAATCTTACTCTATAGTGGGTACCATAGTATCCCCGAATAAAATGTTACTCAACTGGATCTTAAGGCCGAATAAACTTCGCACTACTTTCCTTCACTACAACTTCCTTCATACAACGGTTTACTGCATGGGCATGTCTCAGGACCCTAAACCCTAAACCCCCTAAACCCTAGACCCTTAAACTCTGAAACCCCTAACCCCTAAAACCCTAAACCCCCCTAAACCCTAGGGACCCCCATAGTTTCCTTGTAATCCCCAGTCTAGCCGTTGGGGCTTCTAGCAACCCCCTGCTTTCACAACTCCCAGCCTTAAATCGGTACTGGAGGGCTTAGGGGTTAGTGCTTGTAGGGTTTAGGGTTTAGGGCTTAGAGTTTAGGGTTTAGGGTCCAGGGCCTGGGGTTTAGGATTAAGGGCTTCTTGTTTAGGATTAAGGCTTCAAGGTTCAGGGTTTAGGTGGGTACCCCTAGTTTGAGGATCTTTTTGTAGTCAAATAGGATCTGTATGTAGCATCGATAGTGGATGTCCCGGCACCACCGGCTGCAATGCTGATTATTTTGGCCATGCCTAGAAGCATTCTTGCAGCAGCCTACTACTTCTAACTACGACAGCTGCGAAAACACTTCACCACCAACCCTGAACAGCGTTGAAACAAACCCTAAAACCTAAAGCTATAAACCCCATACCCCTAAACCCTAAATCCCGAAACCCCTAAAAACCCTAAACCCAACTCCCTTGCAACCCAAAAATACCCTACAAGGTCCAAGTACCCAAATAATCGCGTTTTAGGACCCAAATACTACCTGCAACCTCAATACTTGGGTACTTGGACATTTAGGGAACCCTAAACCCCTTAAACTCTTCACCCTAAACCCTAAACCCTAGATCCTAAGCCCTAAACCCTCAAACCCTAAACCCTAACCCCTTAACCCAAGACCCTAAACCCCTAAACCCCTAGACCCCTAAACCCCTTAAAGCCAAGTTGCGTGGAGCCTGAGGCTTCCCCTCCAAAAGCCTGGGTTGCTGTTGAAGCTTCTAAGGACTTTTGGAGGGACCCCCAATAGGGACCCTTGTAGCTTATGGGGA